TGAATTTACCTGCAAGCGACATTAAACTAAGCGATTCTGCGCCAAGTAATATACACCTATGTTCTGGACCAGATCTTGAACTTGATTTTGACTTTGCTGTGAATCAGGTATATATTGATAATATAAGATAATAGCAATGTAATGTATTAATAATTGTATATATAAAATATAATTTAAAAAACTACTGTTTGAAGTATTTTTTAGTTTTGTATCATTTTTGAGATAAATATACTGCAAAACAGTATCAGTTTTTTCAAAATGCTGCGATAAATGACTTTTTAAAATTGCACTACATAACTTCAGAATTTTTGTTATTTGCTTCCAGGCTAAGAACATTTTCAAGTCTATGTATCCAGATGAGGACTTTTTACCACGCGCGCCTGATCCAGAAGAAATTGTTCTGGAAGGCGATGAAGCACCAGGCCCGAGATTCGAGGGTGGTGATATCGCAGAGGGTGAAGAGAAGCAAGATGTCGAAAAGGCCGAAAAAGAAGAATGAACAACTATCATATAATGATAGTATAATGCTTTTACGTCTCTATTGTCGAAAAGCAGATAAGGCTTTTGCGCCTTTAGTGTCTTTTATCTTCATCGTTATTGCATTTCCTTATAAATATATTCGAAAAAAAAAAGAAAAAAAAACGAGCATGAGATACAGATTGTGAGACAGTAGTAACGAGAAGCTTTACGGCGTTAACATTATTTTTTAATTGTTCGTACACTTTTACACATTGCTTTTTGTCTATTCAGAATATTTTCGTTGTTGAATCGCTTATTTCCGATTCATCTCTCACCTATACAAATGCAGTGCTTTTGCATTTCACATTTTACTGATAAAAGTGAGCTTTGGCAAAGAAGACACAGACTCGTTAGAAGAGCACAAGTGCGTTTACGATGGTGAAAAGTTTATGAAATTATATCACTGGATTGATATACTGCGATTCACACGTTATAAATATAATATATATGTATTTTTTATTTAATAATTTTTTGTGTATAATTAAACAGCGAGAATAAAGAAAATGCAGATGCATATTGAAATCCATTCTAGGTAGACGTAGCGCTCGTAATCACTAGACTCAGAATATACCTTATTCACCGTATAACATTACCAGCAGAGATAAGAATGAGAAGATGTGGCGTCACGCTTTGATACTTTAGTAGATATTGACAGCATTGCATACCGTAATTTACATATAAAGTATTGTATGTGCACGAGCCATTAGTCATTTAGATAGACATCGTGACATATTGGGATTGATAGTTTGTATTACACGCATTATACATACATGGATATCCTACCTTTAATGCGCTGTCATGATATATCTGTAATAAACATGAGAAAAAAAGCATAACTCGATTTAAATGAATAATTTGTTTTGATGTAATTGTCTTTAGTGTATTGTTTTGAAATAATTTTATCGGTGATTTTATTGTATTGTTGTATTCATATTTATCAAATGGCAAGAAAGGCACCAGTTATTTTAATGAATTTTGACGCGACTGTACTCGTCCGACGTGTTTGTGGCTTAAATAACATAATGGTTTAATAATTTTACTACCTTTATTTTTAAATATAATTCAACTTACCGCTCACACATTCCATAGTTTAAATATGTTTACGAAGAAATAATATTTTATTCACTTGTTCAAAAGGCTATGATAATATTCCTTTTTCATTTTAATATTTATGTCGTCTCGAATGTAGATAATTATTTTAAGATATATGTATTTTATAATTGTTTTACATTTTCCAGATATTTGTGTAATTTCTTTCATTATTGTATATTTATAAAGGACTGGAAAAAGTTGATTTACATTGACGTGATTGTTTGTTAATTTTTTTTATACATAAAATTCGTATATATTTTTTATTTTTGTAGAACATAACTTTACAAAGATAGAATTGATGAATTTTTTATCCTTTTATTTCATATTTTCAATAAAATTGAACAAATATATACATATATCCAGCGTCCATTTATATAATTCAGTAATATATCAATAAAGATTAATCATACAATTCGAAATTAAAGATATTTTTATAGTTTTCAACAGATTTCATTTTAACTTATATCATTTCTTTACACATTTGAGAAATTACTTATATTAACATTTATTTAAATATTATACTATTTAGTATTTTTAAGTATTGTAGCATCCTTTATCAAAATTGTATGCTATTTTCGTAAATATATATTTACTTTTACTTATATACATTTTATATACGGCTTATAAAAAATAAAATTATGGTAAATTATATAATGTTGTCGATTATACATTTTATATATATATATATATTGCAATAAACTTAATATTATTCTTATTTGTTTTAATACATAAAATTACTCGCAGTACATTTCATACACTCGCATACATTCTTAACGTCACTTATCCTACAATATAAATTACAGTCAACATTTAAAAATATAAGAATGCACATAAAATTTACTAATACGTAATTACCTTGTAATTAAATTTAATTCAGTATGAGTGTTTTTATTCATTAAAATATTCCTACACAACAAAGTTCTCCGAAGGATGTCCTGGGGAAATTTTTAGGAAACATCGCTTGAAGAACTGCGTTGTGAATTATCTTTTTTTATTAAAGAAATGAAATAAATATATCATAATAAAAAAATTGTATATAACTATTGTATTTCATATAAAAAAATGTAACTATAAACTATTTATTAATATTATCAACTTAAAATTATGAGAACTTAAAAAATAAAATTGACGTTTTGTTATCTCTGATAGTTGGAAGTTGTACTAATACTTTGACAAATAAAACGTAAACACAGGGAAAATATCTAAGTTTCTTGCCGTTTACGTTTTGTTTATATATCTACTGAAATATAACCAGGGCTGGGTAATCATTTAAAATGCCAAATATAAAATACTTAAAAAATGTAGTTAAAATGCAAAACGTTTTTCAAATCTTTATATGTAAAATGGATAAATAGATGAAAATTAATTCATTTAAATGAATTTACAATAGTTCAACATCTTAACGTTCTGACCGTTATGGCGCTTCTTAATTTAAAATTATTATGTTTAACATTAGCGGTCTT